AACAGTACAATGAAGAAGAGCAACAACTTGATAGCATGTCTGTTGATTTGATAGATGCTGTATCTCAAGATCTATATCTCCTAAATTTTATTCACCATAAGGGTGCAGGAAGGTTGCACCAAAGGCTCCTGTGTGGCGCTCTACACTGGACCAGTCCCGTTCCAGCGCCGTTCGAAGTATACGAACGCACAGAATATTGATCGATCAAACTTAGCCGCTAAGTTTCGGCTAGGTGCTGGCACGGAGCTGGCACGGAAACTTCGAGATCAGCTCAAACAGGCGAAGCACACCTCGTTATCCGTGTATCCTCCGTAAGTGTTGATATTGCTAGCATAGCAAGTGGCTAACAATGTAAGGCAATAGTGGAGCAGGAGATGAGATATTTCTCTACATATCTCCAGAAGAAATCCACTGCCGAACCGCGATCATCATGCTGTTACGTCAAGAGATAATCTCTTTTTTCGTTCCCTTTCTTTCGCTTCTTCCTCAGCTTCTAGATCGCGAGGCGGAGGGCCGATGTCCATGAGTTTCAATTCAGTCAAATAGCACGCAGAAAGCCGACGTTGACTGGATAAAGAAGGTGCAGGAAGAGTAGAACTATCAGGATCTGGAAGAAAGAGTGCATAAACGGAAAGCAGCATTATGGGAAAAAACCAACCTGGCACCTCAACTGTAGCTAGTTCAGTTGTAGGCCGATGCTGAGGTGGAACATGTCCTGCAAATTCAGTTTGATTTTGATCAGAAGATTATCATGGGAAATACAACAAAAGCTCTATTTCTACCTTGAACTATATTCAGAGCAAATTAACTTACTGATTGGAGGAAGGGTAAGAGAAGGTTTCTTCTTTGGAACTGGAGCGATGGACACGACGGAAACTCGAGAAGCTTTTCTGGAATAGGTGTAGCTAAGGTTCGTGCTGATGCATAGATTCATATACGTAAGAGATCAATGAGCTTATTTCTTCAAAGGAAACATGTGCGAGAGGAGAAAATATTTTCCAAACAGTCTCGATCTCTATTGCTATGCAAGAAGCTTAAACTGAATTTTATGTTGTAAACTTCAAAATTTTTTCAGAGACCACCGACCACTTGAGGGCTACTCTGTTGATGTTTGTTCTAATCGGTGCCAGTGTCTTTTTTCATAGAGAAGATGTGCACCTTCATTGCATAATTTTTTCAATGGTAATTCATACTTGTAGAAATTCACTTTACGCATATACACACCACATTTGGGGCAAAAGGTTGTACATGCGTTGTGGACGAATAAACGAAAATCAATTACAGCTACTAATAAATAATTTTGTATTGAATTTAGCGCGCTTGCAAGACCGTGTTCGAGCATGCTAGTGTAGTTATGTATGTTAGTAAGCAAGAAAGAAGAGTTTTAGTTTGGCCTCTACCATCTACTCTAAGAGCGTTAGCACACAGCAATTTTCAAATATTAATATTTACTAAATATATAAGATGGTGAAGAATAATGAAAAATAAGATAGCCACCTAGGATCGCAGCAGTGTCGAAGATTTAGCTCCAGTTAGCCCCACTTATCGTGCTCCACTTTACCCATTGTTAGCGATCGCTGACATGATATTTATACTCACTTATGTGTTCTCTTCTTCATTTTCAGGTGTAGCCGGCATATAAGGAAGATCGTTGTTGGTAGTAGTAATAGACAGAACGCTATCACGACAATTAGGGCGACATCCATGCTTCGTTTTCTGAAAAAAATTTTTTTTTGGAAAATCGTTTGTAGGACAAGTGATACAGGAAGAAAATAAGCGTACGTACATGTCAAAGTCCATACTGGA